GAGAGAGAGGGAGAGAGAGGGAGAGAGAGAGAGGGAGAGACAGAGGGGGAGAGACAGAGAGAGAGAGAGAGAGAGAGAGAGAGAGAGAGAGACAGACAGAGAGAGAGAGAGAGAGAGAGAGAGGGAGAGAGAGGGAGAGAGAGAGACTCCAGACTAATGTCAGAAACAGCCCTGTAACTAACGATCATTTTCCTAATTGATTACAGCTGATCAAAATATAATCAAAATCACAATATGATCATGTGCAACATCCCAATCAGAGGAGCTGCAGTTTTTGATAAACAGGTAAAATGCGTGACGCCCGGGACGACACATCCTATTCTCCACACGTGAAGGAACATGTTTGTTTGGTACAAGATCAACAAAAATCACATCATCATCATTTTAAAAGATTTTTCTGTGAAAATTAGATAAAAAAAAAGACAATCTGACGTCTTGACTCATATCACAATCGCAATATCTGCTAAAGTAGATTTGGATTATTGATCAGAAAATATTGAAATGGTGAAAACTAATGATTCAAACTTTGAGTTTCGTCTGAACAACAGCCTCAAACTCCCGGAGCATTCACTTTACAATCAGTTATGATGAAGAAAAAGCATCAAATCATCAAATTTGAGAAGCTCTAACCAGAAAAAAGGCCGATTCATTCACAATCGAAACAGTTGCCAGTTAATTATCTGTCGATCGACTAATCGCTGCAGCTCTACTGCTCGCTGTCAAAGACTTAGACGTCAAGGTGTCACAACAAGTGTTGAGGAAAGTCTTTTAATTTCCAACTAATCCACTAATCGTTGCAGCAGTAACGAGACGTTGAGTTGGGAATGTTTTTTATCAAACTCCTGCTGTTGATTCGTTTTCTGTCGAACGACTAATCGATAAATTGGCATATTGTTTATTAAGAAAATATAAATAAATACCAGATAAATAAGATAATATAGCTATACAATATAGTATATGCACAAACAGCTATTAAAAACATGTTAGAATCTGTCTGTTAGTCAATTAAGAATCATCGTTTTGATAATTGATTGATCATTTTTAAGACAAGCTGTTGTGAACTGAAGATGTTTACGTTTGTTAGACTGAACAAAGCCGACACGTTCTGGAATAACACGCGGACGTCACCGTCTCCATCCTCCATGACAGACTTCATCAGCTACGGCCGTCTCTCTCGGTGATAATCTGACCACTGGTCTGAGTTATATAACTGAACACAGACTGACGAGCTGTGACAGACAACAGCGTGTTTATCTACTTTCTCACTTGTGGTGAAACGCACCAGGAATAGAAAAGAGGAAGTTAAACTTATGTTGGTTTGGTCTGAGACTGCTGCTCTTTCACTTACATTAGTCAGAGTCTACGTTACAGTAGGTTGGAGGTTTTGGTTTTAACTGTTGCTGGTTTAGTACGACGGAGTAACAGGGCCACACGGAGGGAAAAATATCTGATATTACAAGAATAAAGTCGGAATTTTGAGAATAAAATCATAATGTTTCAAAGAAAAGTCGTAATATTATGAGAATAAAGTCGTAACTTTACAAGAATAAAGTAATTTTACAAGAAAAAAGTCATAATATTATGAGAATAAAGTGGTAATTTCAGGGTCAGGAAAAGGTTGTGAAGAAACTCTATTGTATTGTTGACAGACAAACAGCAGCTGACTGTCCTTTCACCTGTTTGATTGATTGGTTGCTTGTAATATTCCCAAAAATTATGTTTTTTTTCTCTTATAATTCTACATTTTCTCATTATATTACAACTTTATTCTCGAAATTTCAGATTTCTTTTTTTCCTCACTGTGGCTCTAACACAACACTCGGTCGTAGGTTTAGAGATCACAGAAAAAAGCCTGGAACCTACAGAGGATCAAACACCGAACTTAAAACTATATCAGCTTCTACAAACCACTGATCGCTCCAAACAGACACACCTGAAATCCTCAGGTATCTGCCTTTGGGAAGGAAAACAAAGAGCTGCTAGCTGTGTTGGCCGGTCAGATACAACAGGTTCTGTTGTCACTACTCATACTCCAGCTCGAGGAAAATAAGACACAACGCTTCACTTTGTGTCGCTCACATCAAACTGCTCCTCAGATCACAAGCTGCCTTGTTCGCACACACCTGAACAACACACACACACACACACACCTGTAGCTGCAAATCTAAAAGGCAACACACTGTGGCTCCTGTTTTGTTTAACAGAGCATGACAGAAGCCATAAATGGATGTGTGTGTGTGTGTGTGTGTGTGTTTGTGTCAGGGTATGTGTGATAGGATCTAACCTAATTCCCAAAGTGCAGTGGACAGGATGTGTGTGTGTGTGTGTGTAAATAATTAAGCACGGGAGCTAATTTAATCCCCCTGCATGAAGCTAAGCTAACGGAAATTAACAAAAAGAATTACGGGGCCGAGGCAGAACAGGTTACAGACGTCGACGTTGAAACACGAACCAAGTGACTGCTGACAGCTTCAGCTATTGCACTAAACTTTCCCAGATGAAAGATTTAATTTAATCCTGATTTGTGTGTGGTTTTGTAGTTTTTATTCCTGTGCTTGCTCCTTTCTGTCCCTACTACACAGTATGAGGCCCATTTGTCGTTGTGACATCTAATTTCCCCCCCGAGGATCAGTGAAGTGTTTTCGTCTCTTATCTAATCTCAGATAAATAAATCTCTCCCTCTGCGGCCAAAAACAACTTTAATTGTATTTTTTGGGTTGAATTCTTCTGGTAAAAGTTTAGCTGTTTCCCAAGATACAACAGCAGTGTCGCATTTTTTAAACTAGAATCACCTCCTCGTTGTTGTATCCCTCCGTAACTCGGACTAGGTTCAGGTCACATCCCTGTTTATCAGTCAGATGAAATATGAACCATGTGTGTGAAATTTTGCTGTGAAGACTTTGGTGTCCTTTGACCTTTAGCCACCAAAATCTAATCAGTTCATCCTTGAGTCGAAGTGAATGTTTTTGCCAAATCTGAAGAAGTTCCATCAAGGCGTTACTGAGACATCGTGTCCACGAGAATGAGACATGCGGAGGAACAACCTGAAAACAATATGGCTGCCGCTCTGACTGTCGCCGGCGCGGAGGAACAAAAAATAAATGTTACACTGAAGCCAAAATCTGATTTTGTGGATAAACAGCACAATATTTCCCGCAATATATTATATTTTTCATAATATCAAATAAAAGAATGCTGTTGTACATCAACACGTGGCAAATAAAACTTTGCCCTGCTGACCTGAGACATAAAATACAATAATATAGTATAAAAAGAAAACACCTGAAACACAAATAAGAATCTCAGCTGAAACAGGTTTCTTCAGCACAAGCTCATATCACCATCATGATTATTGTGTCGTATTGAACTCTGGCTGATTAGAAATGGGGCAGGATGCGTTGATTAGGATGGAGTGCTGTAATTTCCATGATTTCACAGGTGGATAAATTGAACCTTGAAACAAAAAGGTCACAAACTCTAAAGTTGTGTTTTGTAAAGTGGCTCTGGGCTGGGAGTAGGAGGTTAAAATAAAGTCACATTCCTGCTTGTATTTGCTCTGTGTGGATTTGATCTCCCTCCCCCGTCGTCCTGCCCCTGAACCAAACAGCCAGCGTGGAGGTTTTCCTCTCTCCGTCTGTCTGGATTTCCTCTGAGACGCCGTGACATTCAGAGGGGGGGGGGGGGGGTACCCAGCTGCCGAGGCCCGCGTCCAAACCAAAAACCAGGAGCCCGGCCTGACACGAGATTTAACAACCAGAAATGTTCCTGCACCTGCCAGTCAGACGGGATTTTACTGCCTCAGACACCAAACAGAAGCGATCTCTCCCCCTCCGGCTCTGAGCTGCTCCGCTGTCTCTGTTGGATTCTTAAACATTTATTTTTCACTTCCTCGTACGGGAACGCTGTCAGGGTTTATTACATTGTTTTCCAGCTGTTGAACTCAGTCCACGCCACAGAAGCTGACGCTGCTGGCAGGTTGACCACACCCACCTCAAACTGGGACAGAAAACACTTCAGACCTTGATGATGGCTTATTGCAAAAGGTTATTTTAACTCCATTATACATCATCCAATCTGCCTCAAACTTCATGTGTGATGGCAGTCCCACCTGAAGACATCGGCATGCTAATATCATGTCATACTCACGACGCCACCAACTGAGAACAGGAAGCAACCCTTGAGTGACAATCGTCATTTGAGGAACATAATGCATCAAGTGGCGTCCAGGCAGCGACCCTGGGGTTTGCCACGGGGCGGGGGCCCTCATGGTGATGCTTGCAGCTTTCATATTATATTTACATAAAATCAGACTGAGTTATTATTGAATATCACTTTAATATTCAGTTGGTTTGAGGAGGGATGTGGTTGTTATTTTGCGACTCACACGTCTTATCTCATCATAATTTCCAGGTGTTCCAGCTGTTGTTAGGGGCAGTTAATGTCACTTGAAGAGACACATCATTTCTCTCTCTCCCTCCTGCAGCTTCTGAGGTTTGAACAGTTATCAGTTTGTTATCAGCTGGTCTCTCTCCCTCCTCTCGCCTCCAGGCGGCCGCCAGCGGCACTTTGCTCTTTCCTCAACCAACCTGCTCGGCTCTCCTCTGATTTTTGGAAAGGCTGCAGGCACTTCCTGGTGTCAGTCTGAGCTCTAGAGGTTTTTCTACCACACATACACTTTGATTCTGGTTCAGTGTGAGACATCGCTCTGATACCACCATCTGTGCATGTCTATAACAGATCTGTTGACTCCTCCCTAACATCAAATACTGTGAGTGCAGCATCATGTTTGCACCTGCGAGGGCGGCTGCTCAAACCCGATCTGAAAAAGATCATGTGATCACGAGACATCTCTTTTCAGGAACTGAGAAAACGCCGTCTTTTTCACACCCGACCTCCCACAGTCACAACACCTCTGCTGCGTGGCGGCGACGGCTGTGCGGAGGTTAAACGGCGTGATGACTCGGCTTCAGAAATAGGACGCAGAAGAGCAGAGGGAGCAGTGAATGTGGGCTAAGCCCTGAGGAAAGAGGCTGCGCCGAGTCAATGCTCACTGAGCCCTGCTGTATCACTTACTGCACGTATACTTAACTGGGGCATGATTAACATGCAAGCTCTTACGCAGCTATAGGCCCCAGACTGAAGCCCTGAGACCGTGAAAAGGCAGACACGTGTCAAATGGTCAAGTCAGCCGGTTAACATCCTCTTTAAGCTCCATCACAACAGACACTGATATTAAATATGATATTAACCACAATTATCTCTGCCCCTCTCCAGCTGGAGAAAAAGACTTAAAGTTTCACAGATTCATGTGGACAAAAGGACGTATGTTCATATAGATCAGGGTGATTGATCTAATTTTATTTTCTATTATGATTTTGTCTTCCAACGATCATGACAACAAGATAATCCAGATAAAACAAGTAATTTATATTAATTTGTGCTGGATTCTGTTTCGCAACAAATTTAATCCCCCCCATCCACTTCCTGGTTACGTTTCGGCGTACGTTAGCGACGTATGCAGGAGTGCGTCATCTTCAGAGACTTTCTATATGAAGCCAGGAGAGACCACGGTCAGATATCTTTAACTTATATTGTGTATAACCTTAAAAACTACGTAAACACAAAGCTGTTTGTTTGATATGTTTTTTATGTTGTTTTTTTTTTCCATTGAATTGTATTTAAAGTTTAAAGTTCAATAAATGCGTGGTGTTTCCAAAGTCAATGATTAATCCTGTTAAATAATCATGATCTCAATATTGATCTAAATAATCGCGATTACGATTTTCATTATATTCAGTGCATGTAGTCACCTGATGATTCCCAGCGTTGGAGAAACCTCTTTATAAATCCAGAGTGAGGGATTTAGGAAAAACAAAAATGGCGCAGTTAGATTTCTAATTAGCAGCTAAAGGTCAAACAAACATAAAACGCCCATGTTTGCAAAAAAGCAAAACTATCTATTGAAGCTTCTGATGAGCACAAATCAACACGTGTGCACACAGAGGAAAAGATGGAAGTCAACAGTTTAATAACTGATCAAACTGCTGGTTCTCAACCAACTGGTCCTGACGTTTGTCTTGTTTTATTCTTGTGAAATACTGGATTGTTGTAACTCCGGGCTCTTTGGTGACACTGCTTTGAATTAGGGAGTCACATGCACAAAAGGTTTGGTAGCACCTGTTTTAGAGTCATCACCAAAACAATATGTGAATTTCCTGCCTTAACCAAATCATGCTTTAAGTATTCTGCTTCTTCGCAGGGGCAGAAATGCAGTCAATACTGTCAATGCTGTCCGATCATCTTTCTGATGTTTTATATATGAATCGATTCATTGAGAAAATAACTGACAGATTCATTGAGGACTGAGGGTGGGACTGACCTGTCCTTCAGAGACTACTGACTGTTTATACTCTTGTTTATGGTAGGATGGATGCTGCATGGTGGCAGTGAGTGCAAGGACAGGAAGTCATGACAATAACATGTTTTTGAATTTACTATCTGAAATAAAAAATGTACAGGTTTCTACGTGTTGAATGCAGTCATCATCCTGCTAGTAGAGTTAGCTAGTTAGCTTCAGCTCAGGCCTGCAACTTCTCTCATGTAATTTCCAACCCTGTCTGCTTTTCGTCACAGTCTCCGACTACATTTCTCCATCAGTTCTGGTCTGACCACGGCTTTCAGCAGGACACACACACACGCGCGCACACACACACACACACACACACACACACACACACTGCAACAATACCTAGCACAGCAGTTAAAATCTACTGTGAGTTTACTGCAACCACCCTGCATCTCTGCAGTGCTAAAAGAATTGTTTTTCTCTGTTGAACATCATTATTATTAATTGTTAAACTAATAATTTGTGTATTTTAGCTGCTGATCAGTCTTATTTTGGGATTTTAATAAAGGAAATGAAAGCAGTGATTTATCTAAGCTCACCTCTAAAATATAGGTCTTTAAATGTGACATTTTCCTTATTAAAATGTTGATGATGATAAGTTGCAGATTTATGTGTGTGGTGTGCAGGTGTTGTATATTCTCAGACAGAAAGGTGACACTGTGCCACATTCGCCAGAATCAGTTAAAGTTGATGGATGCACAGAGAAGTGGAAACTGTTGTTTTTTTGTTTTCTCCCTATAAACCAGATCAGCAGTTTGTGGGGAAAGAATTCAAGTCTTTATAAACAGCTGGGGAGTGAGGATTGCAATTTATTTTTTTTTATAAAGTCAAATCTTGACTCACATGAGTACGGGTCCTTGTAAGGTCAAAAAATAAGGAGTATGTTTGGGTTAAAGCTGGTGGTTGTTTGGTTTTACTGGCAGCCACAGCTCTGGGGCTTTTTCATATTTACCACATCACTGGACTGTGTTGACACATTCACCACCTGTGTGTGTGTGCGTGTGTGTGTGTGTGTGTGTGTGTGTGTGTGTGTTTGTTTTGTTTTGGTTTGGTTTTTTTACCTGGTGAAGAAATCAGCGATGCCGAACCTCTTTGGCATCAGCTTGGAGTCCGAGCCGTCTGTCTGCTCGGTCAGGTCCGGGAGTTTGTCCGGGGCGCTCTGCCTGCGACCCGCTTCCAAAACGTTGCGAAAGTCCTCCTCGTGCCCATCCTCTCCAAAATAAAAGCCCCCGTCCTCGTCCGGGGACAACGGGGTGGCATCGCAGCTGAGGGACACCGCGTGGTTGGGGTTAGTCCACAAACTGTGCGGCCTGACGGGTAAACAGAGGTCACTGAAGTCCTCCTCGTCCTCCCCGGTGTTGGGCTCTGAGAGCGGGCTGTCACCGTTCAGGTTGGACAGGGTCGACGGGCAGGGCGAGGGGACTTTGGCACTTGATCCCGGGGTGGGGGAATCCTTGGAGGTGGCTGTGGCGGAGGGATCGGGCTCGAGCTCAGCTGCAGCTGGCGCATCCTCCCCGGACCACTGTGACACCAACCTCCCGCTGTAGTCGCTTTGGCTCCGCAGACAAAAACCCGACCCGGACCCGTTTTCTTTCCTCTCCCCCAGGTCGAAATCAATGTCTGTGTCCGAATCGGGCCAGTCACGTGTTTCTCCGGCTGCCTTCACTATGTGTAAACCGCCGTTGGCGACTATCACTTCCTCACAGTCCACGTCGCACGGACCGAGTCTCAGGCCCAGCAGCGGGCTGGAAAACACTGTCGGTTCGTAGAAGGCGATATCTGCCTCGGGACCGTCGCACCCCGGGCTGTCAACACCGTCAACACCCCCGTTGGGCATGTTTACCCCCGCGGTGCCAGCGCAGTTCTGCTGGTGCTTCCCGGTGCATGGCAGCCGATCGAGGGGGGTAGAAGTCCTGATGCAGCCGGTGACTGCGCCACCGCCCGTCGCCTCTTCACCCACGGGAACGTCCGGGGTTTCCCCTGTGCTCTCCCCCGCAGGATGCTGCCGCATCTGTCGGCCCGTTTCTGCTGAAACCCGACCCCCGAGCACAGCTGGACAGGAAGCAGTTCCTCCTCCTCCTCCTCCTTCTTCTTCTTCTTCTCCTTCCAGCGCGACCATCGTCGGACCGAGTGACTCAGTGAATCCGTTCAGGCCACTGTGGTCGCCCCGAACCCGCGAAACCACACACCTGTCCGTCAACCGGTCGGGGAGGCACTTCTCCGCCGCCACCAAATCCAACATTATCTCCCTCTCGTGTGGGGGCGGCTGTACTGAGGCGTCTGTGTTTACATTCCTCCCGTTGCCGGTCACGTAAATATGACCCTTCCCGGCTTCCTGACCCCCGCTGACACCGGCTAGCAGCGCTATGCTGCGGTCTTTGAGTGCGATGTAAGATTTGTGACCCGCTTTCCCTCCTCCTCCTCCTCCTCCTCCTTCTCCTCCTCCCTCCTCGTTCTCGTTCAAGTCGACGGCAAACGAGCCTCCTCCGTCCACCTTCTCCATGACCACTTAGTCCGCCAAGCGAGCCTCGGCCCCCGGCGTAAAATCCTGCGACGAGTGCCCCTGCCTCGTCGGCCGAGCTCCGCAGCAGCAGGTTTTGTTGTTCTGCGAGGAAGGGGCTACCATTTTAGCCAGCAGTACTCCAGCGTTACCTGACGCTCACCGGGTGTACCGTGTTCATTTCCGGTGCCTTAAAAAGAATAATATTTCCTCCGTGTCGCGAAGTTAACGTCGCCGCCGGGCAGAAGATTAATTAAATCCCTTAACGTTCAGCTGCGGCAGCGGCATTCCGGCCACAGACCAGCGCCATCTTGAAAATATCCCAACAATGACGTCACCCCCCACCACCCTCAGCTCCCTGTGTTTTGATTCGCCAAAGGGTTTACAGTGACGCCTGCTGGCCATGTCCTAGAACTGCAGCAGGGATTTTCTGACCCCGTTGACCCCGTAAAGAAAAGATAAGATAAGATAAACCTTTATTGATCCCACGCCGGGGAAATTAGGAAAACGAGGTAGAAGAAAACAAACAAGTAAAACAACTGAATAAAGTAGAAAAATAACAACTCAACCTCCGGAGAACAGAGAGGTTCAGGAGATCCTTTGTTCCCACTGCCGTCAGGCTATACAACAACTCAGCCAAAGGAAGTGGACTAATTTAATTATTATTGTTTATTTATTATTAACTGTTTTTATTACTATCCACAATGAGCTAATTGACACATGGATTTATTGAGTTTATTTATCCCTAGGGGATAAATAAAGTATCTATCTATCTATCTATCTATCTATCTATCTATCTATCTATCTAAATAGCATTCACATTAAAACCAATGAAAGAGAGAGATTCTTTTAAAATCCACTTCCGCTTAAAGGTGTCTTGGTCAGTGTCACCTGGACATTTGACTAAAAGTTTTAAGCCCTTTATCCTTCATGTAAAACCATCAGGGAGGCGTCTGATCGGTACCAAATTAAGTCTGCAGCAGGACAAGGAGTCCAAACACACAGTCAAAGTCATAAAGAACTAATGGTACCGCTCAACAAAAAGACCACCCTTACAAAGGACCAATAAATAGGTTATTAATTCAGTTGTTAAAACCTTATAAATCATAAATTAACAATTATAAATAAGTTATAACAGTTTTCATTGATGCAGGCTCACTATTTAGCAAGATCAAGTTAATGCTTACTACTCATTAATCCTACTAAAGAGTTACTAGCATTTATAACTGGTAAAAGGGAGCTCCATTTCTTACGTATGAAAACTGTTATAATTTGTTTATAATAGTTTATGATTTATAAAGTGTTAATAACCGAATTAAGAAACTCATTGCAAACCATTTAAAAATCCTTTATAGAGGTAGTCTTATTGTAAAGTGGTACCAAACCATTTTCAGGGACAAGAAGAAGATGAAGTCGTGCAACAGGTGGAACTTTTTATTTCATAAACTTAAAAAAAGTGTTAAGTAGTAACAGTAATAATTGTTGCATGTGCAAAAGAGCACCCTACTTCGTCAGTAACCTACTTATTAACCTACTTTTGCCAACTGTTAAGCATGGGGGGGGTGCAAATACTCTGCTTTGGGTTTGTGTGGCAGCAGTAAAAACAGATGCAAAAACAACCACAAAGACATGTGAGATGTGATGTGTTCATACGATTCACAAAGAACGAGTTTCTGCCTGATGCAGAGCAAAAACACTTTCTGACAAGGTACCATTTATAAAGGGTGTGTAACCTGTATATGCAGCTACGCAGTTTACAGATCGGTTTGTTAGACATCAACATGACAGTAAATAACAATAATGGAAGAAGGCCTGCTTATAAAAATACTTGTGTAGGTATCTGTTCTTTCATATTTTACTCTTTTTTTTGACTGCAGTGTCTCCTCAACAGACTCAGCACCGTTTCTGTCTGACGTGGACGGATCAGTTACCTGATAGTCCCTTGTTTACGCCACACTAAATATCCACAAATCCCAAGAAACACTATTAATATGATGACCTCCCAGGTTTGAGGTTTTCTCTGGAAGAATGGATTCAGGTGGGGTTTACTTTCTTCCACACCGAGTGGGTTCTTCATCTGGCAGGAGAAGGTTTTAACCTTTCTCGTCTCGACATCATTCTTGATGCTCTTGTCCTTTGCCCCCGGTATCCACTCTCCGTCACCCTCCCTCCAGCTGTAGGTGACAGGTCCAGCCTCTGAAGTGTCTCCATCACAGGTCAGGGTGCAGTTGTCCAAGACAGGGGAACATGCCAGTGGTTTGAACGCCACATCAGGCCTGGGCACTTCCTTGATTACTGAAACATTGTAACTCTGACTCTGGACCTGGTTGTTGATCTCCACCGTGTACAACCCCGCGTAATCTTCACTCATGTTTTTAATTTCCAAACATCCAGTGGTTGTGTTCAGGGTTGTTTGACCTTGAAACATGCAGTGATAATCCAACGTATCATTCACCCACTCAACCACCAGGTTACCGTCATGTTTCCACAGGATGCTGGTTATAACTCCAGAGAACGGCGGGCTCAGGCGCAGGCTCAGGGTGCCGCCGACCTCCGAGTACGACGCTTTAGTTTGGGCTTGAGCAGAGTTCAGCATCGCAAACAGCCCAACTGCGAAGAGCAAAAAACACACCTTTCTCTCCATGTCCACAGATCAGTGCAGGACTGACAGAATATCGACTTTCATATCAGCAGTAAACACCCAGGTCACAGCTCCTCCACGTTCTTCTTCTGGTCTGAGGTGAATGTGGTTTTCATGGAGCAGCATTTCCTTCCTGTGATGTTATTTACTGAGCTGCTCAGTTTAACCGTGTGGCACAGCAACACTGTCTTTCTACCAGTAAAAATCTTCTGTCTCCAACTGTTAACTACAGTTTATATACAATATTGTATATACAGTATTAGCCACAGCCATAGCCTAGCTACTAAAATATGTTTAAATTAGTGTTCCCTGGAGGCTGGAGTCTGAAGAACTGCTGACTCCACTGAGACACTATTATTATTAGTTTTTGCTGTTATTTTTTATCCACCATTTATTGCTGATTGTGTATCCTGCCTATTAAACTGATATACGCACTGATTGGACAGATGTTGTGGACCATTTAGTTATTCCTTTTGGGGTTTTGAGGTATTATGTATTTTATGTCTGAAGTTATATTGTGTACATGCAGCGACTGGGCCCCTACACACAAGCTTTTGAAGGTTATTGTGGTGTCCCATTGTCACCCATTACTACCATTATGTTTGTGTACTTGTATTTTATTCTTTATTTCTGATTTGTGTGTGAAATAAAGGAAATAAATATCTAATTTCTATTGAAAAGGTCATGGGGCCCCTGGACTAAAGCGCCTGTTTAAGGTCACTGTTAATAAACTGAGTTCAAAGAGACGCAAACTGACGACAAAACAGGAAACAACCACAGAGACACGTGATCTTTTTGTAGGTTTTTTTATTCAGTATGCAGTGAAACGCTGATGATGAATAAGCTGTAACATGTTAAATGGATAGACGACAAAAATAACGGAAAAAATACAGAGCAAGAAAAAGACGACCCTTACAGCAGACTGAATCTTTTTGTTGTATCTGCGAGATGTTAAAACAAGGGTTTGTAACCTGTACATGGCTCATAACTGATCTATAAAACACTGATCAATGATTTATTAACCATAATCAATCCATTAATTACAGCTTCTAAACACTTCATACATGGTGTCAGCTGCATAGGCTTCATATATCAACTATCAAACGAGTTAGTAAGGCGATGAATTTAGCTACAAATTAGTTTGTTTTCAGATTTTACCATTTCCATCTTGACGAGGACAGATCAGTTTCCTGACAGTCTCTCGTTCTCGCCACGCTAAGTATCCACTAGTCCCAAAGAGTGTCATCATCACCAAGATCTTTAAGACAAGGTGCAAAACTTCAGGCCAGGTTGGAGGTTCAACTGAGAAGAATGGATTAGGGTGGGGTTCACTGTCTTCCACACCGAGTGGGTTCTTCATCTGGCAGGAGAAGGTTTTAACCCTTTTCGTCTCGTCATCATTCTTGATGCTCTTGTCCTTTTCCCCCTGTATCCACCCTCCGTCTCCCTCCCTCCAGCTGTAGGTGACAGGTCCAGCCTCTGAGGTGTCTCCACCACAGGTCAGGATGCAGTTGTCCAAGGCAGGGGAACATGCCAGTGGTTTGAACGCCACATCAGGCCTGGGCACTTCCTTGATTACTGAAACATTGTAACTCTGACTCTGGACCTGGTTGTTGATCTCCACCGTGTACAACCCCGCGTAATCTTCACTCATGTTTTTAATTTCCAAACGTCCAGTGGTTGTGTTCAGGGTTGCGACGCCAACAAATTTGCCGTAGTAATCCATCTCATTTCTCACCCACTCAACCACCAGGTTACCGTCATGTTTCCACAGGATGCTGGTTATAACCTCAGAGAACGGCGGGCTCAGGCTCAGGGTGCCGCCGACCTCCGAGTACGACGCTATAGTTTGGGCTTGAGCAGAGTTCAGCATCGCACACAGCCCAACTGCGAAGAGCGAAAAACACACCTTTCTCTCCATGTCCACAGATCAGTGCAGGACTGAAGAATAATCGAACCTTTCATACCTCAGCAGTAAACACCCAGGTCACAGCTCATCCACGTTCTTCTTCTGGTCTGAGGTGAATGTGGTTTTCATGGAGCAGCATTTCCTTCCTGTGATGTTATTTTACTGAGCTGCTCAGTTTAACCTGTGGCACAGCAACCTGTCTTTCTACCAGTAAAATCTTCTGTCTCCAACTGTTAACATACAGTTTATATACAGTATTAGCCACACCATAGCCTAGCTAACAAAAATATGTTTAAATAGTTCCCTGGAGGCTGGAGTCTGAAAGAACTGCTGTCACTCACTGAGACACTATTATTATTAGTTTTTGCTGTTATTTTTTATCCACGATTTATTGCTGATTTGTGTATCCTGCCTATTAAACTGATATACGCACTGATTGGACAGATGTTGTGGACCATTTAGTTATTCCTTTTGGGGTTTTGAGTTATTATGTATTTTATGTCTGAAGTTTAATTGTGTACATGCAGCGACTGGCCCCTACACACAAGCTTTTGAAGGTTATTGTGGTGTCCCATTGTCACCCATTACTACCATTAGTTTGTGTACTTGTATTTTATTCTTTATTTTCTGATTTGTGTGTGAAATAAAGGAATAAAATATCTAATTTCTATTGAAAAGGTCATGGGGCCCCTGGACTAAAGCGCCTGTTTAAGGTCACTGTTAATAAACTGAGTTCAAAGAGACGCAAACTGACGACAAAACAGGAAACACCCACAGAGACACGTGATCTTTTTGTGGAGTTTTTTTATTCAGTATGCAGTGAAACCTGATGATGAATAAGCTGTAACATGTATAATGATAGACGACAAAAATAACGGAAAAAAATACAGAGCAAGAAAAAGACGCCACCTTACAGCAGACTGAATCTTTTTGTGTTGTATCTGCGAGATGTTAAAAACAAGGGTTTGTAACGCCTGTACATGGGCTCATAACTGATCTAATAAACACTGATCAATGATTTATTAAACCATAATAATCATTAATTACAGCTTCTACAACACTTCATACATGGTGTCAGCTGCATATGCCTCATATATCAACTATCAAACGAGTTAGTAAGGCGATGAATTTAGCTACAAATTAGTTTGTTTTCAGATTTTACCATTTCCATCTTGACGAGGACAGATCAGTTTCCTGACAGTCTCTCGTTCTCGCCATGCTAAGTATCCACTAGTCCCAAAGAGTGTCATCATCACCAAGATCTTTAAGACAAGGTGCAAAACTTCAGGCCAGGTTGGAGGTTCAACCTAAGAATGGATTAGGGTGGGGTTCACTGTCTTCCACACCGAGTGGGTTCTTCATCTGGCAGGAGAAGGTTTTAACCTTTTTAGTCTTGTCATCATTCTTGATGCTCTTGTCTTGTCCCCCGGTATCCACCCTCCGTCTCCCTCCCTCCAGCTGTAGGTGACAGGTCCAGCCTCTGAGGTGTCTCCATCACAGGTCAGGGTGCAGTTGTCCAAGGCAGGGGAACATGCCAGTGGTTTGAACGCCACATCAGGCCTGGGCACTTCCTTGATTACTGAAACATTGTAACTCTGACTCTGGACCTGGTTGTTGATCTCCACCGTGTACAACCCCGCGTAATCTTCACTCATGTTTTTAATTTCCAAACGTCCAGTGGTTGTGTTCAGGGTTGCGACGCCAACAAATTTGCCGTAGTAATCCATCTCATTTCTCACCCACTCAACCACCAGGTTACCGTCATGTTTCCACAGGATGCTGGTTATAACCTCAGAGAACGGCGGGCTCAGGCTCAGGGTGCCGCCGACCTCCGAGTACGACGCTATAGTTTGGGCTTGAGCAGAGTTCAGCATCGCACACAGCCCAACTGCGAAGAGCGAAAAACACACCTTTCTCTCCATGTCCACAGATCAGTGCAGGACTGACAGAACAACACAGCAGCCAGAATTAAAAGGTTTTAAATTCCTCATAACATGTTGATATCTTGACACTTCCTCAAATGTTCTTCCTCTTTTCGTAATTGAGAAATACTTTGTCCCTCGTCAAGACAGAAGTCAGTAACTGAAAGTGTTAAAGAGGAAGGAGTGGCGGTGGGGGGGTTATTTCAATTTGGTTTTACGGTCAGTAAAAACATGAAGTTGGTTTTCATCCCTGGGTGCATTTCCATTAACCTGCTTAATGCCAACTGTGAAATTAAAAACGAATAATCGAAACACGTAAATTAAAAAAACTTTTAAAAGAAACTCTGAAAAGGCTTTTTTTTTTAGCAATATTTCTCAAAATGGAGAGAGAAGTGAGAAGTGAGAGTGTTTACAGGCTCCATCAGCGTCACTGGTGCTGGAAGGTTCCAGCGGATAAATCCGAGGCTGAGATTGTTGTGGCCGAACAGAGACACCGGAGCTGTGGCATTTGTTTTGGTCCGAGATGCTGCTGGTCAAGTGCGACACACCTTTAAATTTAAACAACATTTAAATGATGCTTCGTGATGCCAACAGCAGATATTCAGCGTCACGGTGAACAAAATAGACAACGTTAAGATACAAGAAAGTTCTCAACTGTTTACTTCCTTCAGCATAAATAGATAATATTACAGTTTAAAGGAACCACACTTAGATATCATTATAATACAGTACAGTATATCTACATAATAGTGTGATTGTAAACACAATACAAAATGACTGCATTTAAAACATCTTAGCCAAAGTTTACACCAATAATATCAAATAAGATTTTTCATTTTAACAATCCACATCCAAAGTTTATCAGCTTCATCAGTGTTAAAGGCACAGAAGTGTTTCCATCTGTTGTCACATGGGGAACCTCATTTAAATCCTTCTGGGGTTGAGGGGTGTTACAGCCATTTCAGTTCAAGCCTCGTCTCTCAGTGACAGTTTGATTGATTATTGATTCATGATTACTATTTCTGTTGACACATGGTTATTTATTAATGCGTAAACTGACGTGTCCTTGTATCTTTTCATGAACCTGACGACGACTTTGTTGCTCACGTCAACAATAATAAAAGATATGTGCAACCGCTACCACGAAACGCTTGGTTTATTTTTACAGACTCCACCTTCCTCCTGCAGTTACCAGAACCTCTTGCAAAACTTCTTCTTCTTCTTTTTTGTGTCCGAGTCTTTTAATTTACTGACAGATACAGTTTTAATCCAACTGCAGCGACCACCACACACACAAACAAACGCTCAAGGACCTCGATATCAGAGAAGATAAATAAGCACAAGTTTTTCCTCGACTGTGATGGTGTCGGTCCCGTTGTCACCAGCTTCTCTAATCAGCTGGAAACTGACAATATCAGTCCGATGGAGAAACACGTTATCTCTGTGTTCTGTTCAGGTTGATCATCACACCTGATAACAACAACTGAGCTGCACACTCTTGATACCACATCGAGTCCACGTCACTGTCATTTCGTTCGTGCTGAAGAATTCCCCGCAACTAATACCGGCATCAGCTCCAACACTCAACAGGTGAGTCCCAGTGTCGAGGTTTGAAGTCGTACCTGCCCTTTTCTACCCAACTGTTGACTTTCTTCATGAGCTTTCCTGCGCCGTCCTGTCACATGTCACTGTCTCTGCATTAAAGACGCCATGAAACTGACAACTCAGCTTCCTCAAAAGACTGCATCTCTTAGCTGAGTAGCTTGTTAGATTTCCGTCTGACGAATCTGCCCGGCTCTCGGCCCCAGAAAAGGTTGTGATTGTCATGTCAATCACAAAGTGAAAAATCTGAGAGAGTGATGCGGCAGTTTGTGGTCTAAAATAATGAGTTCTCCATTTTCGAGCGCGGTGGATCACTGGTTCTGTTGGTTATCAGTGAGAGTCCACCAATCAAAAAGGTGAACGGAGGTGAACTCTACGAGCTCCCACCGACGCGACCGTACCTTCATGCCGCACAAGCACTGCGACTAAAGACCCGTGAGGTCATCAGAAATGTTTTCACCCACCCGACCTTTTCTACACGTCCTGATCAAACCATCTGCCTTTCTACCTGCAACGCACAAACCACAGCTTTACATACAGTTCCTCAACCGTCCACCACAGCAAAGACAACAGCAGGCGTCCTACTGGATCAGCAGGTTAAGGCGTATGGCGTCTAGATTCGGTGTCACAGGTCTGAACGTGTAGCAGGACCTTTTAGAATCATATAAATCCTTTAAATCTGACCTCAACATGTTCTGGTGATTAAGATTGTAATTTTCCATCTTCCATTAAGTCCTGCTGATGATTGTTCCCATGGCTACCAGCGCTGGTTTTATGGTTCACTGTGGTCGTAGAAATGAACCATACTTTGATTTGTTGCTGGTGTTTTTCACACACACAACTACCAGCGTCTCCTGAAAGTCACGTAAGTCTCACATCTGTCCCGGCTGTCCGCCACCCATTAAGGCACAAACACCACGACAATATCCAGGAATATTAATTAAAAGGCAGAGGATTGATTATTTGGCTTTTCTGTAAAGTCAGATACAGGAGGAACCGTCGAACCTTCGAACCCTCTTCCTGAAGGTCAACGGCTCCCCGCCATCATTTTTGAAACGTCACAATTCACGGACGTAAGAAGCGAACCTGGTGATCGGTCCTTCGTGTTAATTAAAAAGGGACAGTTCACCGTTTTGAGGCGGCACGTCCACGAGGAACGAGGTGCGTCTACGCCGCTGCTCTGAGCCGCTCCGGTGATGAAGACGAGGCCGCCGGCTTCACTTGTGGTTCGGTTTCCATTTGTCGTCTTCGTAGAGAAGAGCCTGCGGTCACAAAGACGAGAAGACGCGATGAACAAAAGAAACCACGGCTGATGATGAAGACGCTCTTTACTGTGATTTCAAGATCAGGTTGCGTCCTTAATAAAGATGATAAAAGACTGACTGATGGTTACATCCTAGTTTTCCTTCTACGTTTTGTTTGTGTGTGTGTGTGTGTGTGTGTGTGTGTGTGTGTGTGTGTGTGTGTGTGTGTGTGTGTGTGTGTGTGTGTGTTCTTGGCGTCACCTTGCTCTCCAGCACTCGGCCGCGGGTCGGGCTGCTCAGCTCCTCCAGAGTTTCTGCTGCAGGTCCGTTGAGGGTCTCGGGCAGCAGGAGGCCGAGGCAGCCGGCGGACAGTCCACTCAGACAGAACACAGTGAAGGGCATGGAGCTGTGGAGAGCCCGCTGCGACACACACACACACACACACACACACACACACACACACACACACACACACACACACACACACACACACACACACACAGCCCAGAAAAACAGGTTTAAATTTCAGGTGCAACTTCACTTAACAAAAAATATATATAACACACTATTAAAGAGAAGCGAGATCCCCAATTAAAATCTCTATAAGTATAATAATAATAATAATAATAATAATTAAGATTGAAATGGCTGCTTCGCCCTCGTTCCCCGTCTCTTCACTGTCATCAGATCAGCTGCTGCTCGAACTGCGTTCCCTCATGTGAAGGTCACCTTGACCGCCACTAGGTGTCACTCTGTGTTGAGGTTTAGCTGCTCGTGTGTGTGTGAACTGAGGTGAGTCAGTTTAACTGTGTTGTCAGGGAGATTCCTGCTGTTCTCATTTTATTATCCGTCACCACGTGTGATTTCAAAAGAAATCTCGTCTCGTGTCAAAGTGAGACAAACGTCTGCATCTTAACGTCGTTATTAATCCATGTTATCACCTGTTTGTTGACAAAGGAGCAACCAGGAGCAGCTGAAGCTAAATCTGAGTTTACAGCTGAATCACAGCCTCACATGAAACCACTTTACAGAACCACGTGTTTCTGCTTCTTCGTTTTTTTATGTTATGATTGAATGATGAATTTCCTCATTCCTCATTAATGTGGAAGAAATCACAGCGGCTGATGATTTAATGACGCTAACAGTGACTCCTGCTGAGGTTTGATTAGCCTGCAAAGTTTTAATATACAGCACTTTGTCACAAAGAGCTCCACAATCAGATGAATGAAACCAACAATCACAACACATCAAACCAAAGTGAAACAGATGCAGGAAACCAGTTAAAGGCATTAATTACCACATGCCACACACCTCAGTGCCAGTCCGACGATCCTGATCCTTATTGGCCCATTTTCATTAAAAACACATGATGGGTCGATGTGAATCAATGCTTCTGGTCACCAATCACCTTCAAATCGATCCACCTGTGGTTAATACTCTGGTGTCTGCGGCTGAGATAAACGCTGTGTGGTGTGTAGTGTAGCCCCGCCTCCCGCCGACAGACCGCCAAAACAAAACAACATGTTCCCAAGAAAACGTGATCGGAGCATCACTAATAAGTACGTAGTTTCTCCACAAACTTTCATACACGTTCTGTTTATACGGCGGATCTGCCAAAGCTCGTGTCATGATCAAAGCGCTTCGAGACTATCTTCATCTGTCAGGAGGGTTTGCAGTGTAAACATGTTCAGATTCACCCTGATAACGGAGGATGAAACAGAAGCTTTTGAAGCTTCCAGCGTTTTTCTCTTTGATGGAACAAAAAACTGGAGTTTAAAAACATTCCCTCCTGATTCCTTTTGGCTGCTGATGAAGGTGGACGGAGGTCAGGGAGAACTGAAAACCCTTTTAAAGTCAGTTACACAGAAACAGAGATGAATCACTTCCTGTTGTCGGCTCACACTGTTGTTAAGCAACACACACACACACACACACACACACACACACACACACACACTTACCATGGAAGGAACAAATGGTGCGAGGATTCCTCCAACTCTGCACGACATTGAACACACCCCCAGACCAGCGTTCCTGAAACAGTCAGAGCGACATGAACACGTCATGAAACGCGGCGGCGGCGACTGTGGAGCAGGTCATCCACTAAATCGGGAGGGTCGGCGGTTCGATTCCCGGTTCCCCCACTCTGCTATTTAATTGCAGCGTTATCGTAACAGACTCCTTCAGAACACGCAGCACTGAAAACGAGCTGCGGTTAGTTCACCTGATAACTGTCGGGTAGAGCTCAGAGGTGTAGACGTAGGCGATGTTGAACGCCGCGCTCACCATCAGTTTCCCCAGAAGCGCCAACGACGTGACGCTAAGCAAAGTTCCTGAAGACACACAAACCAAACAGACACACATCAGAACGTGAAGCGTCCTCCTCCCTCCCTCACGACGTCAGATCAGGAAAAGCAGGTTAAAGGTTAAATCGATAAATTCAATCTCGACCACATTCTTTAGTTTTTACGTGTTGGGATCAGCTCTGCCTCCTCCTTGGCTTTCACTCCACTTCCTCCCTTCACACACTTTGAATCCCCGGAGATTTTAACCGCTCTGGGTCTTATGTGTGTCAGCCGTTGTTGTTGCTGTTTCTTACCCGTGTTTTCGGGGATGAACGTGGTGCAGAGGCAGGCGGAGCCAGCCAGACACAGGAAGCTGGCCATGCTTTTCCTCCTCCCAGCCCTGCGCAGCAACACACACGACAACTCAGGACACAGGACACATCACTGAACTATCTCAGCTTAAAGACTTAAAGCTCAGACAATATCGCTTCTGCTTTCGGTAAATTAATTTCCTTTTTATTATTGTGCACACCTTACCTCAACAACTCCGTTTCTGATTAAGATCTCTCTCTCTCTCTCTCTCTCTCTATCTCTCAATAAATGGTATTGATAAGTAGTAAGTAATAACAATAAAATCTTAAGGATACCAATCCCTAGGAGTGAGCAGGTGTGTGTGTGTGTGTGTGTGTCTCACCAGTGCTTGTTGATGAAGTATATGCAGAGCGGGTAGGCGGGCAGCTCCACCAGGCCGTACATGGCGACATTAACATAGCGGCTGCCTGAGGTCTCACTGGCCCCGAGAGTCAGACCGTAGTACACCAGGCTGCACGCATACCTGCAACACACACACACACACACACACACACACACACACACACACACACACACACACACACACACTTGACTCAGCAGCTCCTCCCTCTTCAATTTTCCCTCCTCTCTCAGTTGTTTTCAGAGTCACAACCTGCAGTGGAATTTCCTGCAGCGCGGCGTTTTTACCCAGAACTCCCCTCACCACCGTCGTCCAGGAAACTCTACAACTCTCCCAAGTGTTGAAATACCTCGAGAGTAATCTGATCAGACTGAAGTGGTATATCCTCAGTCAACAGACCGAGCTGTTAAACACACAGAGGCCAAGTGTGTTTTTGATTTGTAGCTGTGATAAAGGAAGTAAAACCAGAAGGTGGCATCACACTGACCTATATTAAAGAAAGCTTCGTCGTGTTGTAGGAATGCCAGTGTTGAGACATGTGTGTTGCAGGATTACATCACTTCCTCGTGCAACAAAACAAAACAACTCTGGTTTAGCAGCTGTGTTCGTGTCATTTATTCATTACAACAATGCGGCGACCACAAGCCACAAGCTGCAGTCAAACTGTCAGGTAACTTCAAATGTTTCATCAGAGAAACAGAACCACATGATGGAATAAAAACGACCTCACAGTCTGCACGTTTCTTATTGGAAAGAAAAACGCATCTTCATTTGGTTTTAATGAGAAAATACTATAATTGCTGTCTTGAGTAATGGCTAAAAAGTGTTTTGTGAGGTCACCACAACCTTAACCTTTGACCTCCTAAATCTAATCTGTTGATCCTTGAGTCCTGGTGAGTGTTGGTGCCAAATATGAAGGAGATCCATTTAGGCCTGTCGCCACACGTCTTTGTTTTGTTCTTCTTCTGTGGTGTGATACTCACCAGACGTACATGAGCACCATGGTCCTCAGCCTGAGGACTGGGTGAATCACCAGCTGCAGGACGCCCGCGCCCCTGTTGTCACGGTTACCGGCTTTGGCGGCGCCGCCGACCCGCTGCAGCCTGAGGCGGTTGGCCGCGTTGCCGTTTCTCAGCGCCATGTAGCGCAGGACCTCGAAATCAAGAGCACAGCGACACAGTCACGGATTAAACTGACGGACCAGCTGTTAACTGGTAACCATGACAACAAGCCGGTTAAAATAAACTCTGTAGATGCTAAAGGAAGTTGTTTCACTGCTTCCTTTTCTGTCTGTGACTTTAGTTTAGAACATAAAACAGTATTTCAGGAGTTTCAGATCGACACTGTGATAATCTACAGACACTTTCTCCACACTGTGTTTTTCCTTCTCTAGAGTTACTTCTCAGTCGACCTCCTTTTCTGAGCTCATCAGATTTTCCACTGAGGTCAGAGAGAAACCTCGCCTGACCGCGTTCACTCTCGTGCAGCAGGAAATGGCGGGAGGACAAAAGAGAAACTCCCTGATTAACACGACTCCTCCCGTGGAAGATATTGCAAAACAAACAAGCTCACTGTTCAAAAGCCCAAACACAAAGGTTCATTTCTCACTTCACTGGAAGAAAAATGTGAAGCAGCATAAATATTATCAAATGCAAACAGTCCCAAACAAAAGACTCTGAGAAGAAGTTGACTGATAAAAATGCAACTGTGCATATGTGGCTCAGTGGCTAAGTGATTTCCTGAGCTGGTGTTATTTTTTTTTACATATCACATAGTTCATGTATCTGAGGTCTGTCAGGAACTTCCTGTCAGAGCTTCTCAGAATAACAGCTCATAGAATCAGTAACTTCTTTTAAATTGCTTCTTAAAACTCATTTTAAGAGACTTGCTTTTATGTGATGTTGTCTTTTTATATTTCCATATCGCCCTTTTATTGTTTTACTGTGTGTGTTTTTCTACATCTGCTCCCTCTAACTGTCCTTATCTATATTGAATTATCTCAGTTGTCTTCCCTCTTGTAACCTTATATGTGTCCTGCTTTAAGAAAATTGTATCTGCAATAAGACACAACTACAGATCAATGACAAACCTCAGCACTGAGCAGCTTTACAGACACTAAAACTTCACATTCGTACATTTGTATTAATGTATTTACCTCTTCAGCTCGTTCTGTCTGACCCTGAGAATACAGCCAGCGAGGAGACTCTGGGAGAGTGCTGGAGGAGGAAGAGGAAGAGGAAGAGGAGGAAACAGGAGAGGAGAAGTTACTCTAGGGGACAAAATATCATGTTTCTAGATGTCACAATATTTTTCCTTCAGGTCCAGGTAACTATCAGGTTCCATTCATCTCTGCTATGATAATTAATTTAATTAACAGACGTTTGTCACGCGCTTCATCACAGTAACCGTGAAGTCTGCATTCACTGTAATCAGTGTTCCAGTTCATCCTCAGTTTGTAGTGATGCAGACACCAGTCAGGGTCTGAAACAGCTGATTAAATATTGAACTGTCTGTGAAGCAGGTAGCTGTGATATTAAACATATTACAATTAGAAGATTGTCTAAATGGTAACGTATAGAAAACAGGCAACTTAAAGTCGCTCTACATATGTAAAATCCAAATCCTTTCATGTTTTTAATGGGAAGACAGAAACGTCTCATTTTAAAGTTTTCTCGTCATTTTAAAGTTTCTGTCTCAAGGATTTCTGTCTCTTCAGTTACTGTTTTAAACCAGTGTGTTTATCACTGAATGAAGTTATGATGATGATGTTATAATATTAATTAATTTAGACATGAAAACCTCAAATCAGAAGATGTTTTTACAGGTTTAAAATTATAGTAGATAAAGTTTCCATAAAGTTTTTACTAAAAACACAAATAAAAAAAATTAAAGCATCAGCCTGTAGCTAAAGTTAAGAGAACAGTGAATTCAAACCAGATGAAAACTCTCTCTAAAGTTTTACATTATATTGAACGTGGTGCTGATCAAACATTAAATGATATTTAATCCATTCAGTTTGTTCTGTGTGTTTCAGGAGCCTCCTCTCATAAAATACGCTTCTAAAAACCAACAGCATTTGTATTTGTTTTGGTTTAATCTGGATGAAGGCGGCGACTCACTCACACTGAGAGCAGGAAGAACAGGACGCCCGACGAGTTGGCCACTGTGGCCAGGCTCCGCCACGGCCGGATGAAGTAACCCAGAGCTCCGAACAGAGCGATACCGACCGCAAACGTCATACTGGTCAACGTCCCTGAAGGAAGGAAGGAAGAAATGAAATCTCTGTCTAATAATGCAACTTCATCTCGTGGTTATCCTCTCAGTTCAGAGGCTTTAAAAACAGAAAACACTCAGCACTTCACCTGGTAAATATCAAAAACAGTTCACTCACAATAAGGTAAAATCAAAGACATCGTATAAACTGTCATATGATAAAGAATGCTTTGGAGTTTTCTCACCCGTCATGGCCCAGTACGACTTGCCCACATACTCCTGGGTGAGGACGAAGCAGACCAGGCCGATGCCGCCGTTCATCAGCCCCACCAGGAGGCGGGACACGGCGAACACCTCGTAGCTGGGCGCTAACGCGGTCACATAACCAAAGATCACCTCAAAGAACAGACCTGGGAGGAGTGAGAGGAAAAGGGGGAGAAACAGGTGAGATGGGGGTGAGGTGTTTGTTGCTCGCTGGTTCAAACTGCCTGACGACTACTTTACTGACAAAAACCTGTGTGATAAGGATGTGTGGTTTCCCTCACCTGTCAGGTAAACAGGTCTCCTGCCGATCTTGTCGGACAGCGGCCCAAAGACGACGTTCCCAACCAGAAGCCCGGCGAAGAACAGCGATCCGGCGAGACTGACCTTATAGGCCTGATGCTTGATGAGGAACCACTGAGGAACAGAGACAAGCAGAAACCATCTTTCTAAGCCTGATTTGTGTATTTAAGGTGCAGTGATGCAAATGAGGCCTCCTGACTGAGGGTGAAATATGAACTCCGGCTCCTTCACCTCGGTCACTATGGAGTCGATGTTCTCTGTAAAGGTGACGTGCTGGAGGAGCTCCTGCTGACCGGACGGGACGCCGCCGCTCTTCTCCTGCTCGATCCGATACTCGGGTGTAGATCCAACCAGAACGATCAGCATGGACTGACAGGCCATGTACAACTGAAACACACAGATCACAAATGTACAAACCTGCTGAGAAGCAGATCTAATAGAAGAAACACTGATTTTAAAAAGTGGCAACAGTAATTTTCAGCTAAAAATCTGGTGCAGGTATTCTGTATCCTCATATTCAAACCTGTAGTTAAAGTAAAAGAAAGAAATAAGCTGAGATTGATCTAAAATCTTTATCCTTACCACAGTGAAAAGGCCTTTAAATCTGGATTTAGATCAACCACCAATGAAAGCAGATTCAGCAGTGAGCAGCTCCTTAATGAAGGTCCAGATAGGTTTCACTGCATTATCACCTGACTGAGCTTTGACCACAGTTATTGTATTGACCTTGTTATTACAAGGTCAATACCAGACGTGCATATTATTCTGCCGTAGATCATGAATAATAAAATAAGACAGAACACTGGGATCGTTTAAAATGTGGTCTGGCACAATAGTTTTTTTTTTTTAATCCTGTTATTTAATTTAATAGTTGAAGAAAACATGTTGAAGAAACTATTAAACTATAAAAAACGAGGAGTTGTAGTGTTACACACTGGGTTTCCATATGTCAGGCTAATCAGTGCTCACAACACAACAAATCATTAAGCGGCCTGAAAGACAAAATGTAAATAAATATCAAAGATATCTAAACCTCATCGTGTTAATAATGTTACCATGGAAACTAATGTTGTCTGGCTCGGTGAGGTTTAACCCTACTAGCCAGCTAGCTAGCAGGAGGATTAGCTTAGCCGTGCAGGACGCTTCGCCGAACTTCCTTTAAAGAGGCGGGTGGTTGTGATTACATTTGACACTAGTGACAATACAGGCCAAGATGGAAAATACTTGAAAACATTTAGGAATATGTGAGCTGATGACATAAATTCGGCTTACGTTTGACATGCCTGTGAGCCATTTCCTCTTAATAAATGTTAAAATTGTCACGTTTCGTACTGTCGATGCAGGTATCCGGAGCGGGGGAAGTCATTTTAGCTAACGGGCGATGCCAGAATAACGGTCTCGATGTGATTAATTATTGTTAAAACGACCTTTGTATTGTATGCCGAATTGAAGATTAGGTCTTATAGATGTGTAAAATATATTAAGCTGTGGGATGTCTTATTATTAAACTTGCCGATAACAAGCAAATCTATTCTCGTGGATTTTCTGAAGTCTAGTTTATAGTTTTCAACCCCGGAAAAAAAAACACACTTGCTGCACTAGCTAATTGTGGGCAAGTGGTACAACTCAAGAGTTAAAATGTTGAAATATATTTTGTTTTGAGGGTTCACAGCCAAACGCTTTAAAATAAACCCCCCGGCAGAGCTTGAAAAGCCACGTAGCGCTACCGCCGAGCTGATTCTAACGTAATTACAAGGGGGACTCTCCGCGGGGTTTTCTGTTTCTGACGTGTAAAACATGCAGTTTCATCTTTACCGACCTGCGTCAGGACGAGGACGGCCACCGCCCGCTTCTGGTAGGGTCCAAACTCGCCGACAACTTGAAAAGCGTCTTCTAAATCCATCCCAGGTAGGAGATCTGGTTCGGCATCACCGCCGAAGAAGAACGAAACGTGTGAGAGTGACCTGCATTCACTTCCGGGTTCGCTTCTGTCATGCGTCCATTACTTCTCTTCAGTTTTGTGGAAATAATGAAAAACCTACAGTCTGGATTACAATGTGAGCATTTTATTCAGAAAGCACGTGACACACAAAGAAAAAAAAAACAAAAAAAACAAAGAAAAACAAGCTGGACAATAAATTAAAATCAAAGAAGCTTTCCCTCTCATCTGCTTTGTCAAGCAGGGGGGCATTTTACAAAATAGATTAAAATAAGGCGTAAAAGGAAGAGTCAAAACACAAGGCACATCACACAAGACAGTGCATGGAAGAGATGACTGCCTTATAATATGGAATAGAATTGGTGCAGGTTTAATCACATTCATAAAGCACATGGTTCAAAAGCTTGGCAATAGCTCTGAACATGCACATTTAGATAGTCAACAGTCAAAAAATATAATGAAAATACTACAGACTGTATGATAGGGTGTATAACTATAATGCACATTCCTTTATTCTGTCTCTTCTTGAGCTATTGAATGAAAGTGGATAAAAACACACACAGCAGACCCCATGAGTTACAATGTTTGAATATTGTCTTATAAGCCAGTGGTTCTCAGGAGCTCCAAGGGTTTACGGAAAAAAAATAATTTTCACTCCAATTCCCTGGAGAAGTACAGCAATGACAGAATATGTGGCTATTTAAATCAAGGATTTCAAACACTTTCTGCAGTAAAACATCTCAAAGCAAAAACCTCATCAGATGGAAGTCCGTGGTCTAATTTGTGTCAGTTCAGGGACCTTGGTGGGAGAAAGTTTGAGAATCACCATTAAAAGTGACTCATAGTCCATCATTAAGAGCCAGCCAGCTCTCTGAGTCAACCTCATGCAGATGCTCATACATACTTAAGGCAATGTGACCAGCTCATCATCAAACTCATTGATCATCATCAAAGAGCACTGTCAGCACTATCTTATTAAAAAAAACAGGAATAAAAACACAACATCACAGATTACAAGTTGGGGACTAATTACATTTTTAGTATATTATATGATGGCATGTGATTATCCTCATTCTGCAGCAGTGGAAGCTCATTAAGTGCATTTAATTAGGTACGGAGTATTTACAAAGTCTGCTTCTTCAAAGAGGCAAACCTTGTACTTTTTACTCCCAACTTATTTAATAACTTTAGTTACTTACTTAATCAGTAAGCTCAACAAAAGCAATTAAAATGTTCTCCACCTTTGCAACATTAATGTGATGAACACCATCCATCTGTATTCCCTTCATACCTATCTCATATCCGTGGTAGGAAAACCTACATCCCCCCCCCCCCAAAAAAAAGAAAGAAAAAAAAAGAAAGAAAGAAATCCACTGTTATGGGAAGAAAATATGAAAGTATGTCCACTGCTCCGCTGCTGTTCAAGTCCATGCACACATCTGGATACTACGAAGATGGACAGAAATGATGTTTTCTCATTATGTATGCAGACACAGCGATCATGTGAAGACAGAAGCATCAGAATCCAGATCTGATCCTGTTTCCGTGGGATCCTCTACGAGTCCGAGGGGACATCCTTTGTCCTTTCTTCATTGAGTAGATGTTCTTCATTCGGGGATGAATCTGCAGTCCGCCCATTTTCAGTTGCAGGAGCAGCCTGAGTGCGTCTTCGATCTATGAAATCTTTGATGGGTTCTCTCTTCCAATATGCCAAACCTGCCAAACCCAGTATTGCAAGCAGGCCAATGACGCCAGCCGCGATCTTACCACCATCTGAGCTCTCTGAGATCTCTTGGAAGAATGGATTACCTTGGGGTTCACTTTCTTTCTCACTGACTGGGTTCTTCATCTGGCAGGAGAAGGTTTTAACCCTTTTAGTCTTGTCATTATTCTTGATGCTCTTGTCTTGTTCCCCCTGAATTCCACTCTCCGTCTCCCTCCCTCCAGCTGTAGGTGACAGGTCCAGCCTCTGAGGTGTCTCCATCACAGGTCAGGTTGCAGTTGTCCAAGGCAGGGGAACATCTCAGTGGTTTGAACGCCACCTCAGGCTTGGGCACTTTCTTGATTACTGAAACATTGTAACTCTGACTCTGGACCTGGTTGTTGATCTCCACCGTGTACAACCCCGCGTAAACTTTACTCATGTTTTTAATTTCCAAACGTGCAGTGGTTGTGTCCAGGGTTGCGACGCCAACAAATTTGCCGTAATAATCCATCTCATTTCTCACCCACTCAACCACCAGGTCGGTGTCATGTTTCCACAGGATGCTGGTTATAACCTCAGAGAACGGCGGGCTCAGGCTCAGGGTGCCGCCGACCTCCGAGTACGACGCTATAGTTTGGGCTTGAGCAGAGTTCAGCATCGCACACAGCCCAACTGCGAACACTGAAAAATACACCTTGCTCTCCATTTTACATGAATCGGTACAGAATTGACAGAATATCGACTTTCATATCAGCAGAAAAACGACGACAACGGCCTCCGGTCAAGTCACACCCAACTTCCTTCTTTTCTTTAGCTTCAACGAGAAGCATTTCCGGTTTGGTGTTTGTGTCAGTGCCTGATGTAAATTGGATTCAAATTTAAATTTAGATACTAATTTTTATAGAATAAGATTTACCCACCATAACAGCTGCCTTTTATTTCGGCTTTATGTTATTATTATTATTATTATTATTATTATTATTATTATTATTATTATATTGTTGACGTTTTACTGACAGGCAGTTTTCAGGCAGCACATAGAAACCGAAAGTAAAAAGATGGGTGTTTCCCCATGATCACTTAATATGCCGTTTTGCTAACATGTTCTAATAGGTTTTATCTTACACAGTACAGGTTGTAGCCTAACGTGGTTCACGTCAGCACCCATATAACTGTCAGTTTTGGTACAATTATGTTAGTGTTTAAAAAAAAAAAAAGAAAAGGTTTAGAGGGATAAAATAAAAAACAGCATAGATAAATCCTGAACACACAATGAGTAATATCATATTGATATTGTTATTAATACAAGTGGTGGAATGTAATTAACATTAACTCAAGATCTGTACTTAAGTACAATTTGCAGATACTAGTATTAAAATTTCATGCTATTCTTCAAATATTGTACTTTTTTACTCTAGTTGTCCGATAGCTGTAGTTACGTCAGATAGATATTTTACATCTAAGTTTATAATATGTGCAAAGTACTGTTAAAGATTAAACCTTTCTACGAGTTAATGGTTCCACAAAAGACATTTCCCTTCTAAACTTCTTCTTCTTCTTTCCTTGAAGGGGTCTGACCCCCAGATAGCAAAACAAAACCCCTGGCCTAACACGTGCCTGGACACTCCCACATCTGGGCAGATGTAAGTGTGCCGTTATCCTCCGGTACTGGCTGACAGCTGGAAGATTTTCTGTGTGCGCCAGAATTGGTCCAGATGTGGAAATAGCATCTGACAATCGTGCCATATATGGGCCATAAAAAAATAAGATATATTGAACTCCTGTAACTGTTAAAACAACTGGAAATGTGTTACTTGACACAAGTGTGGATATTGGGACAGATCCTGTTGCTTCTCCTTTTAACCCTAGTTCCTCATTTATGACAAACATTACAAAACCTGTTCAGGTACATGTTACCTTTTCAACTCAGACTTTATCTTCTGGAATTAAAACACAAACAAAAGAATAAAATAAGTAAAAATCTCTTTAATATTACAAGCAACTTGAAAATTTTGAGACAATTATGTTACTAAAACAAGTGACAGTTCATGTGACAGCATCCTAACTTTTTAAAAGACAAAACGATTAACAATATTAGAAAGAGTTGAGCAGTAATAACATTGTTTTAACAGAATATATTTATAACTGCTTTAGTTCTGACAGCGGAGTGGAAGTCTGGATTTCTGAGGTGTTGATGCAGCTTCATTTTCCAACCCTTTTGGCCTGGAGGGGATCTTTGTCTCCTTCTTACCACCTTTCTTCTGCTGGAAAAAGGGGAAATCATAAGATTTTAGGCTTAAATATTATTTGTCATTTGCAGAAGAAAATCTTACAGCTACGCTTCATTTCACTGAATTCATTTGGAAGAACAGATCATCACAATTGACAGATATTCCTGTGAAAAAGATCAATTTTCACACCTCCCTCTGTAAAATAACCAGACACATTTTAACCTTTTAAAAAAAAAAAGTGGTTTAAGATTCTGCTCACCTTGAAGAAGGGAACACGTTTGCTCTCGTTGAAGACGAGGTTCTCGTCGATGAAGGACGGCTCTGTGGCCAAACTCTCGTTACAGGTGCTCAGCTCGTCTTCTAGAGAGTCCTAAACACAACCAACAGGAACAAGGTGAAAATTAACCTAGAACCGAAATCAAGGTGAAATCAATATTAAATTCCTGTGTACTGTGTACGTACATGGTCAACCTGGCTGTGTTTGTCCTCCTCCTCTTGCTCTTCCTCTTCCTCCTCCTCCATGGCGGCTTGCAGCTCCTCCTGCTGCCTCCTCAGACTCTCCAGCAGCTCGCCACGGCTCCGCGACTTCATCAGCTGCCTCGGGTAGACAAACTCCCGACGCTGAGGGGTGGCACCTGAAGGCCACAGCAGAACCGGTTCATGACTTGAGTTCAAGACTTGATACTTCCTCGTATTAAATATGATACGATATAGAAAAAGAGAAGTAAGTGAAAATCAGTTACCGGTGGGGACGTCCTGCTGCAGCTCGTCCTGCAGGAAGCCGTGGACCAGCTGTTGACTCGTCTCCACATGGTCCTGTATCTCAGCCCGCTGTTGGTCCAGGACGGTCCGGTCCATGGCGGTCTGGCTCTGCACGGCCGTCAGAGCCTGCTTCACCCCCTCCTGCCGGCTCGACAGCTCCTCCTTGGCTTTGTGGAGCTGGTCGGTGCAGTGTGTCTCGACGCTCTAGAGGACAGATGTTGGATCATAATACAATCAAGTTACGACAAGCGTCTTTTTTCCTTTTCACGTCATCTACACCGACATCTGATGGTCTCGTCTTAAAAAGTCTGACACCTTCACGACTGATCAAACAGCGTCTTCTGCGC